TCAAGGGCAGCGTGTGTGAGGATGACAGAGACCCACACGCTGGGTGACGGAGATTTGCCTTGCCAGCCCCCCTGCGTTCCCCACCCCACCCCTTCTCCCTGCCAGCAACCACTGCTTTAAAGGGGCCTATTGTTTCAACCGTGTGGACCCCCCTCCCTGTCGAAATCAGGAAGCTTTAGCACATAGGTTCCCAAAATGGGGTGTGTGCCCCCCTGGGGTGGCATGAAAAAATGGGGGGGGCACGGTGACCCAGCCCCCTCATCAAATCCCCCCCCCTCCAAGAAAGAGCCAGGTCCATCCGGGGCAGGGGGAGGATGGCGCGTCCTGGGCAGACTTCAAAATGGCCACCTTAAAAGGGCAATTGCCTGCTCTGCTCTTAAAAGGGCAATTTTTTTAATTTAATTTTATTTTTTATTTTTTATTTTTTTTTTGTCAATTTCCCCTGGAGTACTACTGGTCCTGGGAATTAAAGGGGGTGGTGACTGTCCTGGTCAGTTCCTTTTTTTTTTTGCTCAAGTTTTGCTGCTATTTGGGGGGTGGGGGAAGAGAGTTTCTCAAAAATCAAAAAGGGGGCGTGATGCTGAAAAGTTTGGGAACCACTAGCACATCTTGGGTAGAGCAGAACTTAAGCCACTCCCCCTTCCCCCAATCCCTATCCCCTTCCCACTCTTGGGAAATCTGGCCTGGCGGATGCCGGACGAGCCACCTTTTCCCCCCTGCGTGGCAGTTTTGCGCTTCATTCGGCCCCCTGTCCTTAATAACGTGCAAAGCGGCGTGTGAACCAGCGTGACCGCTTCCACCCCCCCCCCGGGGATGTGGTGGGGTCCTTCTTGGCGCCGTTTGACCCCCCAGGCCATGTGGTTTTTTTGGTGTGCCCGCCAGGGTGGAGTACCTGGAGAAGAGCAAGCACCTGCAGGAGCAGCTGAACGAACTGAAGACGGAAATCGAGGTGCTGAAGCTGAAGGAGCGGGAGACCGCCTTGGATCTGCTGCACGGGGAAGCCGCCGAGCGCGGCACTAGCAAACACAACACCATCAAAAAGGTACCCGCCTCGCACACGAGGAGACCTTGTCCCGTTTCGATTTGCACTCGTCCGTGACTGGGCAAGATTCCGGGCAGGACCGCTCAGTAGCCTGGGAGAACCGCAGGGTTTCTTTTTATCCAGCGGCTTCAATAAAACGCCTCATTGGTATTCATCCAGGCTGCTTCCCATCTGTTCTCCGCTGGGAGACATCCTATGCAGAGGGATCCTCGCTTGGATCCAGGCAGCCTGTAGCTTCAACCCTTCCCTTAGCGTGGCATGACAAAGCGGGGACACGGGAGTGGCAGATGGCCTGGCCGTAAATCTTGTGCCACTGTCAATACCGAGAGGAAGCGTCTCTCTTGGAAAAGTCCCATTTCTTCTGTTCAAGTGACTCTTTGGTCTTCCCAGTCGGGAGGGACTGTAACCGGGACCTGATTGGGTTGTTACTGGTATTAGTAGGGTTGTCCGATAGTGTCACAAAAAATCCCGAACATGGTGGGGGGAAAAAATTAATTGAGGCGGAAGGAAAAAAAAAAAAAAAAGACTGATCTTGTTGAGAAAAAAAAAGAATCAAAGAATATTAGGACTGGAAGGGAAGGTCATCGAGTCTGGTCCCCAAAAGAAAAAAAAGAAACCAAACTTGTTGAACAAAAAAGAACAAAAACCAAAATTAAAGCGCCTTTAAATTCCTCTCTCCCCCCCGCCAGACGCAGCAGGGGGGAAAAAGGTCGCTGCGCCTTTCGATTCCCGTGCCAGCCGCAGCAGGGGAAAAATGTCCCCCCGGCCTTTCGTTCGAGGAAAACAGAAAATCCCGGATATTTTACATGTCCGATATTTTCTGTTTGTTTTTTTTTACCGGATGGAAGACGCGATTACTGGCTGTTCGGGCGAAAACTGGACACTTGGCAACCCTAGTGATTACTCTGGAAAAGTTGAGCGTAAGGAAGAAGAAAAAAAAAAAGTCCGACTTATTTAGCACCTGGCTTTCAGGCAGGCTTTTTCCTTCTGGAAGGTTTGCAGTGCCTATGATCTGTGCCAGGGCTACAAGGCCAACCGTAAAGGCTGGTCCGCCAGGAGAGCCCCGGTGTAAAAAAAAATCGCACCGGAGAGTATTAAAACAAAGCGTGTCGGCGGTCTCGTGCGCTCTGCCTTTCGCCGGGGAGCGTCTGAGTCCGCTGCCACGAGGCACACGGAGCAAACGAATCGCGTCCGTTTCCCTTCCCGCTTTGCTGCACGGCGTCAGATCCCGGGGAGAGAGACGTCGATGCGCCCGGGCCTC